CTCTGTGTGTGTGTGTTTTTTTATAAAAAATATTTAGGTACACACTGTTGTTGCCTTATTCAGATTGTCTTTTCAGTAAAATTTTTTTGCAACAGTTACTGTTACTGAGGACGTTGACGACGGTAACAGTGAATAACAGCAATAATACTGATAGTCGTAACGGAATGACCAGTAAAAATAGTGTAATATTTAAGAGGTGGTATATAAATACTCACTTTCTTCTTATCCATTTCTTTATTACTGCTAATATAATAATTTAGTCATTATTCTAAAAGAATTTTTTCTAAATGATTATTTAAACAGAAAGAACTAAAAGCGCTACAAATAGTAATTGATGTATAAAGGCAGTTGTTGATTTGAAGCTGAAGTTTGTCTAAAAAGAGTCAATAAAAAAAGGGACAAAGTTTTTTTTTGCTCATTTTGCAGTCTCCTAAAGCTTTTTTTTTTTCGTTTATTTCATAAAACGATGGACAACAGCATTTGTGTGTCGCAGGAATAACGGGAACAAGGAGGGGGAGCAGTAGGGGATGGATATGACTAATATTTATTCCGAAATCGATAGACAGCAGCTTTTTCTGTGGTTACTAAAACTGTGTAGCTGTAGCCGGCAAATTCAAATAATCAAATGAATTATTTAGTATGTCGACGTTAGCAACTAAAGAAAAACCTGCAAAAAAATTTTTCTGCAATTTTTTAGTTAATGATGCTATTTGGTATTTAAAATTTAAATTTTTGTGCCTAAATTTGTCAATTTTTCTTCTTCTCATTTGTGTCTAATAGTTTTCTCTTCTTTTCTTTTGATGCTTTATAAAGGGATATAAAAATTGTTTGAAGACGAGGAAAACTGAGTAAGAAAAATCGAAGAAAGAATTCATTTTTTGTGAATTATAAAGTGAAAATAATTTTAAGTTTTTTGAAACTTTCTTTTCTTTCTTTTCTTTTCTTTTCTTTTCTTTTTTTTTTTCGTTTCATTAAACAATAACAAATAGAAAGTTCTCTTAATTGCTGTCGTCGTCGTCGCCGTTCGCTGTCGTCGTCGTCGTCGTTTTGGTAAAGAAAACAGCAACTGAACTTTAACCATTAGACCAGATTAAATACTATTATTGCTCTTCAAAACTGATAATCTGCTGAAATTTTTATTTCTTTTTTTTTTTTCTTTCTTCTTGTATAATTCCGATAATTCTCTGTATTTTTTGTTGTTGTTATTTTGTCTTTCTGGTTGGTTATTTACTGTAATTTTTATTTTGGTACACTATAGTTTAGCGAGACGTCATTGCCAGACAATGTCGATGCATTTTGTCCAGAAGAAAAACTGCAATGGAAAGTTGAAATTTTTAGTTTTATTTGCTGTTTTAGTTGGAAACTATTATTTATTGGTGATTTGCTGAAAGTCACTGATGGCAGCATATTTGATAATAACAGTAATAATAATGATAATAAT